ACTGAGTAGTACTCATTGAATATCAAGGGCTTCCATGACTGCTTTTATCTCAGTTGAGTCAAAGGCATCTTTATTGAATCGATGAAAGTGAGACAGAGTGGTCTTTTGTACTCTCGCGATACTTCAACTAGCCTTGTTATCGTGTGGATATAGTTCATCGTACTAAATCCTTTTCGAAACCCTGCTTGCTTACATGGCTGCTCTTCGTTCACTGTTCTGTCAATCCTGTTTAAGATGACTCGAGTGAAAAGTTTGTAGACGCCAGACAGCAAGCAGATTGGGCGATAGTTGCCAATATCGTGGAGGTCGCCCTTCTTGAATGATGGTACGGTCTTGCTGGTCTTCAACTGAATAGGGACTTTGCATTCAGATGTGATTTTTTCCTTTGCCTTTCCGGAAGTTGTAACTGTTCCGTATGAGCGTCGAAGTGCAATCATCTTGATCTTGTAATTGGCGAAGCTTCGGTGAGCTTTGCGAATGCTTTTCCAAGCCTCTCAGCTTCAACCATAACTGCTGCTCTTCTCTCTTTAAGATCTTCTTCTATCGTCTGTCTGCATTGTTTTGCAAGTTCAGACATCAGTTCTCGGTGGTCTGCAGCTCGTGCGATTCCACGCTGGCGTATCAGCTCGAGAGTTTCTGGAGACAGACGACTCTTAGTGACTTTCGAACTCTCAGCTTTCATAGCGCTAACGTGAAGATGTTGAATGAGTCGATCGTATTCTTCGTCGATATTACCGACAACGACATCTTCCCGGCAGCCGACTAATGAATTGAACAAGTTCAAGTTTGCTGTGGTTCTGGGACTTCGGTTTTGGAATTTAGCGGCTTTTTCTACTTTCCGCGAGAAACAGAATTTTGCACGAAGGAGGCGGTGGTCTGATCCCTTGTAGAATTTTGGGACAAAAGCGATATTGGTTAGGCAAAACCTATTTATTATGATGTGGTCTATTTCGTTATGGTACTCTCCACTGAGACACTCCCACGTTCAGCGTTGAGGGTGGAGCTCCTGGAATTGCGAGTTACCATGGATGGTCATGGTCGTCTTGATAAACTCAGACATCCTCTCGTCCTTCTCATTCCATTCTAATCCGTGCGTCCTAATGTGACGTTCTTCAGACGTTCTTCGTCCTCGGATGCAAGTGCGCGTGCATAGTAGGGCCAAATCCTCATCTTAGTTCCTTGCGATGTAGACAACTTAGAATGGACCTGGGATTTTAGCATCCTCTCCGTACTCGTCCTACCCAACGCTGTCGTATTGGGGTTCTTTAGAAGTCAGGAAAAATCAAAAAGGGACAGGAAGTCCGTTTTTTTTTTTTACTGCGATTAGCTTTTTGATGCCCAGGTATAGCCTGCTGAGCTCTGAACTTGGGGGCTGGGTATGCTCACGGGTAGCTTACTAGTCTCTTCCAAAGTAGACATGGATCTTAGTTGTTGGAGGCGACTCCTAACCGCCTCCCATACACTTCCCTGTCCCTTGATTGCAGGCTGTTGGCCGAATTGACTCGTTGAATACAATACGCATAAGCAAGAACGCACCCACACGCGTGCATGAATACGCCTAGCAAACCAAATTAGAGCAGCAGAAACAGGAAGTCCATCCCCTTGATCCACCTGCGTCTCAGGGAAACAGAGGTCACTTTTGGTCCGCGATTAACTCCCTATCCTCCACCTTGGGACGTGCCAGGTAGCCTGGCGACTAACCGGCTCGAGATCCCTCATATGAGGGAGATCCATGCATACTTAATATTAATTATGGCTACTATTTTTTTGGTGAATAAATACGGACGAAGGTGTATGAAATTGAAAAAAATATGGAACTAGAAAAACCATAAGTCTTTTGCTGGTTCCTGGACACGTTAGCGGTTAGTTGTAGTAATAAAAAAAAATAGAGGATAAAGCTCTCGGCGTGGACCAATCCCTGAGGAATGCGCCATGCATTTAAATTCATTAAGCATTGTTTGGAGGTGATTGAACGCATATCTGGCCTTTACAATGACTCGCGATGGCCTATCGTTGTATCGACACTAAAAATATGTAGATATATAGGTATGGATATCGGAGATGCCGATAGGAGATATCGCGGCCTTATGACTCTAAAATGTTTGCTTACGATTTTCAAATGTCACGCAGTGCAGTTAATACAACTGTGGCCTCAGCATCTCACACATTATGCTCCACCGTCTATTACTTTAGGAAGGAGCAAATCTGACGTGAGACGAGAATAACGTTTAAAGTTGCTCATCGAAATCGATGTGACTGTTGGATGGACTTGACATGACGTCTAGAATTTCATCGCTTTCGCTAGGACTTGATGTCGACTCATGGCGGCCAAATCGCCTTTTTTTAAATTTTATCTGACCCGTCTTCACGTCTTCGGTGCGGATCTCAGCAGTTATCACATTCATTTCGTTTCCTCGCATCCATTATCCACGAAGACCTTCCAACCTTACGTGTGGCTTCGGTTGATGCTTGAGGATTTTCATTTTCATATCTTGAATTTCGTAGAATGATCGTCGAGCAGTTCTCCCGGGAGTCCTGAGATAGCTGTGATACAGCGTTCCCAACTAGATTGCAAAGAGTGATTTTACTTCAGAGAAGTGCTATGCCAATTCCTCGACCCCGGAGGGATGACGTGCCTGGTTGGCCCGGTGCGTAATCGAACTAGCACCATGCTCGTGATGACGGACATCACTACCACTGTGTTATCCATCCCATCATTGTGTACTGATAACCATTGATATAATAGTTACCCGCAACTACTTAACATTGTAGATTATTCATTTCTACCAATATTAAACACTACGTAAATCGTGCAGCATATACCCATAAACGATCCCCGCGCCCACCGCCCCACCAAACCCTCCGTTCCTCCGGGTCGCCAAAGTGGTACCAGACTTGTTTGGAAGGATAGCAGCATTGGCTCCATACATTGGTAGACTACTGCGAGTCATTTTAAAGGCCAGGTATGCATTCAATCCGACGAAGCTCGATGAAATTAAATGCAAGGCGAATCCCTGAACGATTGATCAACGCCGACAGCTTTATCGTTTTATCCTTTTACCGTTACAATAACAAGACTTCAGCTCTAAATTTCTATAGTGATGGTTCACAACAGTTGTTACCATTATAAAGAAGATGGGTTCAGGACTAATTCAAAGGTTTCATAATTGAGGATGCATAATACGAGAAGAAATGGGGACGATCAGATGCCACCTATAATGCCTACGTAAAGACAGAGATTAGAGCAAATTTACAAGCACAGGAACACATTTCCTAACCAAGTTCGCATCGAAAGAACGTTTCGAATTTCTTCTTGCCCTATAGTTAAACCCAATCACTACGGCTTCTTGAATACTTCTGAAAACATTGCAGCGAATAAATGATCCCTAAGAAGCCGACAAAGTGTACCAACAACTCTAATGCATGCCACCGGCTTTTGCTAACCATAAGAGACTAATTCTATTGCATCTCAGTTTGCTCAAACATCACAATACTAATAAGGCAAAATCTGAGGAAGCTGAATTTGGAACTATTCCATTCAGAAAAACCGAATCGCTCATTAACTAACTCATTTCGTGAAGCACTTCCGACACCATTTACTCAAAAATCCTCAAAGACCCTTGTGACCCTCAAAAAACTCAGACGCTGCTGAAGATACTTTTAGGAAATTCGTGGACTAAGAAACCAAGAATTCTATCTTTACCATAAACACTCTTGTCGTGTTTGCAGAGATATGTAGATTTCAGAAGTTTTAATTCTGTTCCATGAACTTTACTCTGTGCTGAGGTAGGGTGCACTTATTTTGAGGGTTAAAAAATAGAGATTATTTCACTAGAACCTTAATATGAAACAGAGCAGATAACCGAGTATCCGTCAGTAGCTCTTTAATGTCAGTGAGACTTTCTCTCTGCTAAAGTGGAAACGCAGAAGAAAATCGATGTCTGAACAACTTCAACGCATCGAAATTTTAAACTTATGGACGCTACTTCCTTACTGTGACAAGGTCAACTTCGAGATTACGGATAGGAAACATGTACGTCAGGTAATCGGCGAGAAACCCTTGAAGAAACTCGAATAGCTGTTTGATTTTAGGACAGTTAATAATTCTTCAATATTAGAAGTACAGATTACAATTTACACATCAGCAATTACTTCTGTATTAACAGTTTAAAAAGTAGACTTTGTTGTCTTCATAAATACAAAACTTTACTTACAACATGATACCCTTTACAATGTCACAATAGATAATTTATATGCGAAAAACTATGAGCCATAAAACGCGCAATGTTGCGGCCAGTTGGGCTACCCATACCGCACACTACAGGGGAAACTGTAATCAAGCACAACCTGTAAACAACAACGAGACCTAGCGCAACATCGGCGCGTGGTTTACCTGTTTATGGTATTGGTTAAAAAAAATAACGCCAAATATTAAGGGTTTGATAGTTAACTTCTTCCATTGGTGTTAGGAGCAAACTCTCAGAAATTAAGTATGGTAGCAGTAGCGTCATAGCGCAATATGTATATGTGTACAGGTACATAGCACCATGTCACATTGAATATATAGGGGGAACTGAAACTTAACTGTTAAAACCTTAGGAATAAAACACGCACGGGAATACATATACAATCATAAAGTAATGAGGAAATATTCACCAGAAGTTCGTGACGCTTCTCCGTATCACCAAACAAAATACGTAACAAACATGACCAGTCAGCTTAACTGTTTCACTTAAAATTAATTTAAAATTTGCAAGTAACAACCGCTAACCGAGCTGTTGCCGGGAAGAAAGTTGTAAATGAGGAACAGGAAATTTTAAAAATCACTAATGTAGAGCGGAACCACATTCTAAAGCGAAAGAGATTAATTTTAAGTATTGCAAACTATCCGCTATCTTCTCCTTCTTTTATCCTCGAAGAATGTGCGGAACTTTTCTTGGAAGAAGTCCTCGAGTTGTTCAGCACACTAGAAATTTGTAAAAGAGCTAAACAATTTTTTCCTAACTTTCCTGATACAGAACAGAACGAAAAAAAACACCAACATTATATATCTCACTGCCCTCTTCGTTGTACTCCTTACAGTTTGCAACAATTAGATATGCATCCGATCGCACCTCTTCTGGTGTATCATAAACATGCTGTTTAATTTTGTTGATCATCGTTCGAAGATCCATTGGTCGAGTAATAACATCATAGTAATCAGGAACCTCAAGAAAACCACCTTCAAAAATATTTTTCCAAAAAGCTTACATGAAGATTATAGATTAGCATAAACCATATCTCAAGAGATATTTGCAGCGGCGTGCAGGTGCAGTGGAAGGATGCGCCATGTAATACACATGGCATCGATTCCCACGCCTCAGGCGCACCAAGCCTTTCATCCCTCCAGGGTCGACAAATTGATACCAGATTTATCTGGGAAGATAGCGGCACTGGCTCGATACGTCGATAGGTCACCGCGAGTCATTGCAAAGGCCAGATAGGCATTCAATAACCTCCAACGATGCTCAATGAAGTCGAATGCATGAAGCATCCATCAGAGATTAGCTCAATCCTTTTTTTTATAATAGAGTCGCTTGTCTATGAAATTCTTTCCAATCAATGAGAAAAGACTAGAAAACCTCGACTTGCAGAAGTATAACTACAACCCACATCTCTCTTGTCCACCGGTTCAAGGAACGGCCATGCATAAGGCTCCCGCATGGCTTCTCTTATCAGTTTCTCTAACGCTTCTATCCTGGCTCGTGATGTTAGATCAGCATCCCGCAAAATCGGTGCAAATGTTCGTTGTGGGGACCCCATATACTCGTCCATATCTAAAACTCAACACAAACACAATCAACAGAGATCAAAGATATCAAAAAGTTCTAGAAATGCACAAAACATCGATAAGTCACTAAATGAAGCTCACTTTTCCGTTTCCTCTTACTCCTAGACACAGATGAAGATTCGCTATCGTAATCGAAATCATCATCCCCATAATCATGGTTGGAATAGCCATTCGACCTCGTTGATTGCCGTTTAGATGACTGTATAGATTTCAAAATTAGAAAAGAAATTCACGCACTATTTAACATATAATCGGACCTTGAGTGGCCGTGGCGATGACTCGTCGTCAGGTGTCGAACGGCTATCATTGTACTGAACACGACGAACTGTTCTGCCGCTACTCGTACGAAAGACATTGTTATTTCCCTGCCCATTCGATTGACTAGAGATAAACAAAATACTCCCAAAAATAGTCTCCTCAATGGACCGTTTTAAGTTAAGAAATAACATACGAAAACTCTTCTTCCAAACTTGCATGTAAACTGTTTTCATCACCGATATGTTCGTCTTCGAAGCCTTCTTGTTGCTCTTGTTGCTCTTGTAATGCAGCTTCTATAAAACAATCACATACCAGCCACTCTATTTATAAACAGACTCAGTGAAGACCTTGGAAGCAATGCGTAACACTTGATTAACACATTGATGACAATGCGCATTGGTTCCAATGCGTCCACGTTTAAGAGTACCTGAGTTCACAGTGAATCTTGTTAAAGCACTGATTAGTACGATTTACAGAACTTTTCAATAAGAGGGATGTTTCTTTATTCTTCGAGGATAAAACAATTTATCTTCTGAAGAAATAGAACGTTTTATCGTCACTTTTTGTTTCTGAATGCACTGTGGTTGTTAGAGATTACCGCGATACCGTGAAAACCTTAAAATGTCAACGTTCTAAAATACTTTTAACTTGTGATGGGGAATAGGTCACAATAAGGAGAGCGATTTAGAAAAGTTATATATCGCAAAGCCTTACAAAACCTTACACGTCTGCACAGTTTTTACACTTTCAAGCGCTCTAGTTATCTAGAATCGCTGGCACGTGTAGAAACACCTGTGCGGTCCCGAAGCTGCTAAAAAAGAAATGAGACATATTTAAGACTCTTCTAATGAAGCACAGTAATAACATTTCATATAAAAAAGGATAAAAGGTAAAGCTCTCGGCGTTGATGAATTCCTTAGAGATGCGCCATGCAATCGACTTCATTAAGAATCGTTGAAGGTTATTGAATACATATCTGGCCTACATAATTATTCGCGGTGCCCTACCAATGTACCGAGCCAGTGCTGTATTATAACAAAAAAGTCTACTACCAATCTTCCGACCACGGAAGGATGAAAGACTGGTGTGCTCGGAGTGCGGGGATCGTTCCCACATGTATTGCAGCGCTCCTCCGACTATTGCGCTACACTCTCCCAAAATCTCATATATATTACCAAATAGTAAATGTAAGCAATGAGAACAAAATGAATTCATATAAGCATATGTATTATGCATAAATCGATTAACTTCGTTGTTTAAGAAGGCCACACTGGATTCTGCCGATCACACCGTTCTCGAATCGTTGAACAACTAACTGTAAAGATCGCTACCACTACAGGAACCTATTTACACAGAATATGCTCTATCGCGAAGAATATCCTCTATTTCTCAGTGGTATCATATTTTTTTAACAAATTAATTACACACAAAGTCAGATTTCTACCTGCAGAACGCGTCATCACAGATTACTGATGGTTTTGCCTCATAGTTTGCTCAAAAGTGATTGTAACATCTTCGTATGTCAATACTAACTCCACTCTTGTCTACCATAGATGACATAGATTATGAATGCTAGGAAGTAATAGCGGGAAAAAAATTGGACAGCAGCGCAGCAGACAATTAAATTCGACCCAAACTGAAAGTCAACCCATGAAAAAAAACATGGTGCAAAACAGAAAATACTATCTAAAAAGGATGACCGATTAAAACAAAGTGTCCTATCTATGCCTATGATGCCGGTAATAAGCCGGTTTTCACAACTACGACCTCCTTAGAAGAATTTTCAGTTTTTCAGGACACTGTTCGAAAACAACAGGTGAACAAAAAGAACATTTGAGTAAATTGCGAGAGAATCAAGGCAATTTTCACGGCTTTCCTCATTAGCCAGCCATGTTCACAGCTGTAATCGACTCTGAACTCGTTGAGTTGAGGTCGAACACACATGCATAATATGTCACTATTTCATCGATAACAACAAAAAAAAATATCGTATAGGTATGTCTTGACACGAATAATTTTCCCATTTCCGACTTTCTATTAACCTCGGTATTGATCAAGTAATTCTTCGTATTTTTGTTGAGCAAACGCGAGGTGTTATTATTCTTTGTTCACGATTAAGCTGACGTTTCGGCGGATTTCGCCTTCTTCAGAGCCTGGAAAGGTCAAGTTGATAGCAACCTTTGTTCACGATTAAGCTGACGTTTCGGCGGATTTCGCCTTCCTCAGAGCCTGGAAAGGTCAAGTTGATAGCAATCCACTCGGCCAGTCACATCCATAGCCAAAGAAACTCTAAACCAAGATTTCAATCACTTTGAACACATCTTTGCACACTCACCGCTTTCTATGAGGTTTCTACTAAGTATGTCGCGTGAAGACCAACGCACAGAAATCACGCGTAAGCATAATGTGCCCCTCCCATCAGAATAACAGTCTTATACACTGCCCTATATCACGCGTGATAACGAGGCATTCTTCCCTGCGGTTCATTTTCGGATTATTGAAATTAATTCAGAATGCCTCGAGAGTTTTGCGCGTTTGTGCTCTCGATTCCTGCGCGAGGATCGTAACCCGTACTTCAAAATCATCTCCCTACGTCCTATGCGTGTCCAGTGGAGCATTTGGCTTACGTTTGCCGACTAGGTGTTCCTTTATACGCATGCAAAAGTGGTCTACCCGTTTCACCAACGTATTCTTCCTGCACGCTTTACAAGAGATCAGATAGACTGTGCCCGAACACATGCAATCACCGTCTCTACCACTGGGGCAAATTATGCAATTTTGCGTTGCACATGGTTGGTCGTATGGGCTGTTACGAACTAGCTGGTGTCTCAGAGATTACTCGGTGGTATTTCAATTATCCTTACCGAACTCACTAGACCAGCAATTCTCAAACAGCGTTTTATAGCTGCGCTTACTTCATATGAAATAAAAGGCGGGATAAACGGGACCTTATTGCCGCTAGAGTTATCGTTGGGGTCCTGTAGTCTCTTCTACACCTATCCCGAGATACAGTTTCGTAATCATTAAAAATGGCTATTTGCCGCGCCAAGTTCTGAGACTCCTTTCTCTGCTCTCTTCCCGTGCACACGTTGGTTGCTGTTTGAAACATGTTTCTTATAAGCGCCCTTTTCGTGTGAGAGGGGTGAGAGGAGAGGTAATGTACCAAGATGTTTTTACTACTTGGCTTTCGGTACCACTTTGTAATGTAGCCATTTTCTGACAGGCGAATTTGGACGTTCAGGAATGGAAGCGATTTTTTTTCGGTTTCTTTCGGGTGAACTTGATATACCCCGACTGTACATTTAACAACTCGTAACATTTGTGCATTTCCTCTTGTGTTGAGCAAAGGACAAAACAGTCGTTTACATATCTACAATAGAGTAGCGACCCTAGATCAGTCACCGGTGCTTCCACCTTTGACATAAATGCAATGGCAAGGCTTGGAACCAGTCGTTGCGCCACTGCCAACCCTCTTATTTGAGCGTAGTAAAATCCGCCAAAAAGTCAGCTTATTCGTGAATAAAGAATAATAACACCTCGCGTTTGCTCAACAAAAATACGAAGAATTACAAGTAATTCTGATCATCTCACAAAAGCGACATTCTGTTAACCTTTGCATTGATTAAATAATCCACTGCTTTCTTGAAGGCAGAAACAAGGTTGCTAACAACAAGATTTAATCAGTACAATATGGGCTGTTTTGAAGACAAGCGATCTGATCAGCCAAACACTTTCATAACCTCAGCAGATATAATTTAATACGTAAACTTTCATTTGCATAGTAAAGCGTTTCTCTTAAACATTCATGGTTTTATTCTTTTTCAGCCTTCCAATTAATTAGTGGAGATCAGGTGTTAAATATCGCGAGGAGTATCTTGTGATCACATGTGACCTCGTGCCATAGGTCAGGCTGATTTCTTCCGACCTGAGCCAGGGACATTCCTGACCTACGTAAGAGTCTGTGCGACTAGTCTCCACCAACTAACTGTAAGGCTTACAAAGAAAAAACTAGTCGGCATTTAGAAGAGACTGTTAAACACGCGAATGAAAATTTATATATTAAGTTTCTTTCTGCTGAGGTTACGAAAGTTGACCTAGTAGATTACATGTCAACTTGACCTTTCCAGGTTCTGAAGAATGCGACGCCGCCGAAATGTCAACCAGTTTTGTACTGAATAAATCTCGTTATTAACATCTTCGTGTCTGCTCATCATAAAAAAAAACCTCAAAAAAACAGTGCATTCTTCTAATGACATTGAAAAACACCTTTTTGTCTCACCTTTTTGCGCTCTTCTTTTTTCGGCTGCCGCAATTTTTCGTCTATTCGCCTTACAATCCGTGCAGCACCAATCTAGAGGCGGAAGCCCTAGTTCAAGTCTGGCACATTCAAAGTGGTAGCATCGATCACAGTCTGCACACAGAACCAGCGACTCCGCAATAGCCTTGCGGCGACATGCGCGGCATCGAGCCTGAAGTTGAAGAAAATCTAGCGAAATAGACACGGAAAAATGAAACTCACTTGAAGTCGACTCTTATCCCACATAATCGCCGGTTCTAAAGTCGAAAGGAACAAACATATTGCTGGTATTGAGTCACACCGTAATAAGGCCTTCTGCCATCGTAAAAACACCGGTGTCGCCATGACGATATTTCGTCCATCTAAATTGTCCAAATGCAATATAATCAAAATTAATCCTTGTCAAACACTTACTTTCTTCTGTTTTCGTAACGCTGAATGGTTTCTGGAAAAACTTCAAACTTATGCATTGCACCAATTGTAGAAAAGCCACTGTCAACCTGGATGCATTGATATTTTAGAGCATTGGTAGCGAAATACTCAAGATTATTCACTGAGGAGTATCATACTATGAACCAGAGGCAAGAAAACCCTACTTCTGAATTTCCGTGAGATGCGGTAGTTCATTTTTTGTCCACATAACATCAGCCTGTCCTTGTGGTCCCTTTACTACAACATCTTGATTCATCAGGGATGAAACGTCACCAGTCTCCAACAAAAGCTGACGCCAGGTCTGCCGATCGACGTGCGAAGGTAACCGGCCCAACATTCCTTGTTCCATCAAAAAGTAAATAAGATAATAATGTAATACAAGGACTACAAAACACAAATTTGAATTCGTGATGGGTAAAAAGTCTAGGCAACATACTTTTTCTTCAAGATCAAGAAGTAATTCACGCATTTCAACAATCCAGTCAACTCCGCTGGGCATTTTTGCAGGATCAGGATGACTCACCATGAATAATAAAGAGAACTGTCCATTGGCTATTTTCGTCTCCTGAATAACAAAACTAGAAGAAAAAAAAAGCACCCATCATTCCAAAAATATTCCACAATAACGTATTCTTCACAGGAAAAATACCAACATCTAGTCAATATTTGGGGAATAACATGAAATAACGAGAAATAAATGTGTGATAATCGCAAATGATAACAAGAAGATAATAGGTAGATCCTCAGGAACACTTCATAAAAAAACATATCTCACCACTTTTTCCATAACCTGAGCTATACGTGGGCGATGGAAGGTAATTTCCTCTGCGAGATCGATTTCTCTCAAACCACGAGGATTACAAGCAGCAATGATCTGGAAGAGATTACTATGATACTCACAGATATAGAAAATACTAACACTACCCATGATAAATGCCGAAGAAACTATATGGACTGGAACTACTCCAATCTTTTTTTTTATTTTTTCATTCGACCAGTCTTCCACATCTACTGTGTGGATCTCAGCAGTCCTCGCATTCGATTCGTTTCCTAGCACCCATCATTCACGAAGGTCTTCCAACTGTTTACGTGTGGCTTCGGATGCTGTTTGAGGATTGTCACTTCATCTTGAAGGTCACTGAATGTTGGTCAAGTCGATTCTCCCTGGAGTCCTGAGAAAGCCGGGCTAGAGCGTTCTCACTTGGACTGCAGAAAGTGGTTTCTGTGTTATCCAGCGTGTAATCCAAAGCATATAGGTTATCCACCGTTTCTCCTACAATGTACTTCCACGTCGAAAACTACTCTTATGCAACCAAAGAAATGTAAATATTTCGTATTGAAACGTTTCGATGATGTTAAAGAATATCCAGTTTCAAAAAATTTCTATACTTCACCTGATCCACTTTATTTAACGAGTCAACAAATGTCCATCTCGGCCTCCTCTTCCTTCCTTCACCATGTACAACACATGTGCTCATATTTCCCGAACAACCCAGAATGCACTGACGAGCAGCCTCTTCACTACCATACTCACCCTGTAATTAAAATTTTTCTATTACAAGTGTTTTTATTCTTCCTAAAAAAAAAAAGAACATCATCAATATCATCATAATAACATACTAGGTGCTATTCTTTTTATCATTACAATAAACAAAGACAAGATTAAAGCAGAAAAAAACACTTACATAATCTGCCACAGGTGTCGCTTCTCCACAAACTCCAACATTGTCGGCATCAACGGGATTTTCCACGATCAAGCAAGGTAAACATTCGATTAGAAAATAATTTCTAAACGCCCGATCCCGTCCAAGATGGAGCTGTCCAGCGATCGCTGAGAAACAGTAAAATGAAAGAACAACAACTAGAACTCCTCAAAACTTAACTTTTGCATTCGCTCAAAATTAATCAATTAATGCAATTAATACAATAAAAAGTTAATACAAAAAGGAAAACGGGTTCAAGACTCACAGGGAAGCCACCAACCAATTTACAAACCAAAAACTCCAATATTATCTTCGCAACTTAACAGTTCACAAAGCGCTCTATTATGTAGCAGAGGCGTGGCCTACTTAAATCATGTCAAGAACTCTGCGCACCACCCACACAGCACTGGAACGATATCTTCTGAAATTTAATTTGCACTCACAACGCCTAACCGGAATGCGCAGTTCAGATCTTGGAAACTTATTCCATCTTCGGGAACGAGGGGAATATGCATCAACAGCGAAGCGCAGATGGGTCAGACACCTAATAAGGTGAATAGAAGGCATAGAGACGAGCAGAAGGGTGGAACCGACTCCAAGAGAATGCAAGCGTCCTCCTGAACAACATTATGGGCGGATGTGCCAGTGGTTAACGCCAATCTTCTGCATTAGCAGATGGAAACGATTTCACTAGAATGGAATTACCAATTGACGTCATCATGTTCAAAGTAGACCACCACTATGGGAGACGCCTGCTCGGAAGAGAAACGGATGGGCATTGCCCTGGGCCACGTACTACCTATGAAGACTGGTCATCAAACTATCTAAGTAGATAGCACATGTGAAAGTGAATAAAGTTGTAATTTGAAGTTTTCAATACATCTATATCATATACCTGCCATAAAAATGAGTAAATTAAACCTCACTGGTGAGATCATATATAGTTTCCAACAATTTATCTTCAACTTCCTGGACTTTCACATGCTGTAGCTCACGAGCGGTTATAATTTCATCATATTCGAGCTCATTGAAAGCAACACCAGCAAGTAACATCTGAAATAACAAAAAATGACCCTTTTCTTGAACACATCAATTAGACGACCACTAATAACAACCTGATCCAATTCGTCTCGATCAACTCGACGAGATTCTTGAATTAACTTCAGATTATGTTTGAGTTTCAATGTATCTTCACTTGGAACCGGCCGCTCTTTCACTTGTTCTTTTGCAGCTTCTTCTCCATGTTCTTCGACAAGTTCAAGTTCATATTCACGCGCTAGTCGTGCATCTTTTGCTTCCTAAAAAAATATAAAATAATAAAGCAGAAATCTGAAGACAGTATAGGGAAGAATAATTGCGGCTTCGAATCCGACATGGGGTCCAAGTTTTGTAAATATCACGCAACACCGCAGTTTAAAGACAGCTTATCAAAAATTATACTTTTTCGTGAAAAGACTCAAAAATTCTTTGCTGAGACAATATCGTAAAAATAATGTAAATAAAGTCTCAGAAACGAAACTGGTTTGATATCGCTCTGGGCAAACCAAGTCTCTCATCCCCTTAGGTAGGGAAATTGGTAAAGGATTTGTACGGGAAAAAATAACTCTCTGCAGTCCAATTCGGAAAGCTTTTGCCTCGCTATCAACAGCAGCCGAAGACACGTGAAAGATTAAAGGCCCGCGTGGATGAAGGATGCGACGGAACTAATCGAATGTGAAAAGTACTGGGATCAACGCAGTAGATGTGAAAGACGGCTCCGATAAAATAAAATAGAACCTCACCTGTTCTTGTGTGAAATCCCAGTTACGAAGTTTTTTTAACTCTCTACGCTGCTCCCATAGCTCGAACAAGCGATCATCTTGACGACTACGAAACTAGAAGTATCACACTCCGAAAACCGAGCAAATGACTTGTGAAGCCAACACAATAAGTAGTCATTGATCACCTTGTTGTAGCTTAGCAATTGATAAATAACGACTTTCATTATTTCCAAACGTTCCTCTGGGGTAAGATCGAAGACGGTTCCCTTAAAACTATTGGAACGACAATCACGCTGAAATAAATGACCCATAACAATGACCCACAATTCGTAACTTCTCCATTGTTTCTGGATGTTTCATTCGAAAGACGAAGCCCGCATCTTCATATCTGTAACGATAATTGGGAACTTTCTCTTTTTGGAATTAAATGAGTAAAAGACCTAACAACTAAAAATCGGATTAACAAAAAGGTAATTCCAAGAGAGGTAATTCTAACTACGTAATTCTGATGAATACAAATGATCCTAACTGAAACAGACATAGATCAAAAGCGAAGTAAATTCCTCCACATATTGCTCACCCTTTATAATTCCCTCTGGAAAAAAGCCGATGTCGATGAGTACTTTGACCAGTATAGTAGCCGGAAGTGAGCAGCACCAGTCGTATTGACTCTGTTAATGTCATCCAATCGGTAGGAATATGTCGAATTGATTGGCCTACAAAAAAATCGTTCGAAATTTAAACTTTAAACTGAAATGCACATGAAAAAGTTAAGTTACATGGAGCAAAATTGGTGACCACTTTTAAATTCGAACCAACTTATCTTGGTCTACAGTGAACTTTAGTAGTTCAAGTAAAATCCATTAAAGTCCAAACATTTTCGCAAACCAGCGAGCTTATTCTCTCTTTCAATCACAGTGAAATCCTGATTTTCGGGAGCAAGCAGAACGATTTTTCACCTTTGAACAAACAAAATTTCGTTCATCAAGACCTCACGAGGTTCCGCAATGTGTTATTTGTTTGGAACTGCGGTCTCGTCTTTGCTGGTACCGTAAATTTAAAAGCCATAGCTCTCGCCGTTGATCTATCTCTGAGGTGTGCACCATGCATTCGACTAAGCATCGCTCGGAGGTGATTGAATGCATATCTGGCCTTTACAATGACTCGCGGTGGTCTACCGATGTATCGAGCCAGTACTGCTATCTTCTCAGACAAGTCTGGTACCAATTTGCCAACTCCGGAGGGATAGAGAGCTTAGTGGGCCTGGGGCGCGGGATCGATCCCATGAGTATTGAGATGCACCTCCAACCACTGCGCGACACGCGCCGTAAATTTAAGAAACATAAACGTTGTTATCGAGAAAACAAAAACCGCCATCAATGTATTAGAGAAAAATTGCAAGCGAATGTTAAAAAAGGAGAAATAGAAAAGGAAACTTGTAGCAAAATCTCATATTGAAAGAAGATGGAGTTCAATAACCCATAACCCCCCGTTTAAACACCATAGTGGCCATTGCGAACTGGACTAAACGACCATACGGGCACTATTGCGTTCATATTGAGTTTAGTGAGTTCTACAGATACTTTCCTTACAGCCTTATGTAAATTCATTTGATAATTAACTGAAAACGGATCAAAACAGTAAAGATGATATAAAAAGAACCATTCTCCACACACAATGAATGATTTACAAAGACCTTTTCTTTTCGAAAAAACCTATGATCGATAATTTGAACAGCAATTAACTGTTCTTTCATCTCATCGTTATGCTCACCGTAACGAATCTATGCAGATAAAAAACAATAATATACGGTGCAAAATACTCCAGAAAGCTAACAGCAATGCATCTGCATAATGGACCATAGTAAAACACAGTAAATGGGGTAGCATGTATATCAATTACCGCTATAGAACAATAGAAGAAAGTCTCCCCTATAAATCTTTCGAGCCCACAACCCCTAAAGCGCTCTAGTAAAAATATTGCAAACTATTTTTCTTCGTCAAAAAACCAGTAAGTCCGTAGCCGACAAAAAATTGCTCGTAATCGGTTGGGCTAACCATGAAATTGGGGGCGGGTCGTTATGGGTTAACAGTGAAAATGATGAGAAAATTGGACAAACACTTGCCATGAGTGAGGCGAATTTCTTCGTGCAGATAGTTCATTTCACGAATTCGCTCGCCATGAATCTTGTGATCAGGGTCGCAGTTTTGCAACTGAATCAACGCGATTTCGTCCTTAGACGTCAAATCAGCTAAACTTGAATGGAGTTAGCACCAAGAAAAAAATATACTAGTTAAATTTCCTACCTTCGTCACCATCCTCCTCATCGGCTCGATCTGTCCTTGCGGACAGCAGGATCTTCATGAGATCAGCGAAAAAACTTTGCTGAGGATCAGAACAACGTATGGCCATGATCACATCGGTTAAGTTTACACGATTTGTACCTGTCCATAAAAATGTAAGGAATCAACACAAAACCAGTGCTTGAATAAAAAACACAAGAGACAAAGAAAATCAGTACTACAAGAAACGAAATCACAACTAGAAGGACGTAAAACTTACCTCTTACTTCTTTGATTGGGAGGAGTTCCTAAAAAATAGGTTACTACGGAGAAGAAATAATAATATTTAAAGATTCAGACATAAAAAATTCAGAAATTGAGTCCAATATTTCCTCCTGAAGAAATAAACATTTTCTAAAATAAACTTCATTTGTTTGCTATCTCTGCCAAACTGAGTTAGGGAAAGGCGAAACGAAGGACTCGCATGGTGTGGTGTTGAACGCGTTAGCCCCGTGAAAGGGTAACAGCGCGTGCGGTCCCCGCCGCAGACAACAGCGGTCCGTAATTTTGCAAATATCTTAGCATAATTGCGATTATATTTCATATAATACCATTAAAAATTTGCCATTAAAAAAATAGTATGCAGTATACGGTATACGGTATATAGAGGTATACGTGACCTCTATAAGAGTCCTACGATACGAAAATATTGACCGCGATCCAGTTAAAATCAACATGTCTTAGCAGATAGTGAGTTCTATTTACTGTAATAAAAACTTAGAATCTACAAATCTTGGTCTAAAGGATAAAAATTTTCTTGCCTTGCCATAATGAAATTCTGATTTTTTGGTGTCCATGAAATTTATTTCCTTCATCTCATTGTTTCTAACCTCACCGAACACTAAAGCAAATAAAAAGGCGGGATTCCGTCCGACATGGCAAGGCGGTGTTCTTCAATCTATCGTTTGCGTTTGTAACCATCGAAAATTTTGAGAACTTACATTTCATTTAAGTAGTCGTTTCGCCTTCCTCTCAGCCGTGTTATTGACCTATAGGTGCTGTCAGTAATCACCTGTCAACGGGATTGATTTGGATGAAGGACTAGTTTGATGCAGTGCTGAACGCGACGGCCCCCAAAAGGGTAATAGCGTATTCGGTCTCCACCGCAGACACCCGTGCTCCGGAGTTTTGCAAGTATCTCAGCAACATTATGCTTATATTTCACACATATTTCACACACTACCGTGCCATTAAAAAAGAACAAACAGTAAACAAAAAGCGATGACATTTAAGTTCACTTATCAATTTTCAGAAGTTATAATTCCAAACATATACAAGTTTGAATGGACAATTTATGAACTTATGTCTACAATTAGTGCAAGAAAGCGAACTCTCTTCTATAAATACGTATAGTTCTGAACTCTCGAAATACTCTACTGATCGAGAAATTATCGCCTACTGTCGAGAAAGCAGCTTTGCCGCGAATGTGTTAAAAAAAGAAAATGTATGATGAAAATTACCTGGAAAGCTGTGAAAAATTGCAAAATGGCAAGATATTCCGATAGCTCATCGTCATTCAACCATGGTGGAAGATTCAAAGTTGGATATACAGGAAGTGCCTGTAGAATTGTTCATAATTCGACAGACAGATTTATTTGATACTTTTAAATAACGACTAAGTGAAAGGAACACAAGCACCATCTTTGCTTCATTCATTACCTGAAAGAGACGTGAAGAAATATTTAAATGGACCTGGCCAAGCGCACTTTGCCTTGCTCTACCGCCTGGAGGTGTTACATCGAAGCGAACAATATTTCACTAAATATTTTCTCTATCCTACAACTAAAATCTTAGTTTTTGATACTAGTAAGGAGTTATACCTGATACAAAAAAGCTAATTGTTCACTTCGTTGATAACACTAACACAAAACTCGGAACCTCCGGTGGGTTTCGACCTCGCAGCTAACCGGACCGGGGACTTTCGTGCTATCCACCACACCAACCGAAGCCGGTGCTCTGTCGCTCTCTCAGCCATGCTTTTACTCTGTCAATGTTATCAGCAAGAGAGAACAATCATCAGCGAGAACAATCAGTAGAGTATAAATCGACGTTAGGCACAATTGAGCTGAAGCTACAGTCGAAATCACAATGTCTTGACTTATGTTTACAGCCGATTCGTTTTCTATGGTAGCGTGCGATGTCACCGAGATATTAATCAAGTTCAATGTCGATTTGTGCTCTCCCTTGCCGAGTGGTTGCTTATAGCACCGACAGAGTAAAAACATGGCTCATTGGAAGACAAAGCAAAGACTATGGTTGATGTGGTGGATAGCACGTGAGCACCCGTAAGAATAATCGCCGGTTCGAAGCTCAACTGACGTTCCGAGCTCTGCTCATATCTCAGCATCTTTGCAGTTGTATTTCATATCACACCATGACATGAAAAAAGGTGGTAAATAGAAGCTAAGACAAATAGTTCCTTTACGACTACATTCTAGATGCGATTGTTTTCTTAGACAACCAGAGCAGAATAAAAAAAACTCGTAATAGTTCCCAAGATCGACTTTCTCTTAACCTCGGCATTGGAATATGAATGTGTCGTTTTCTTGTTCAGCAATCGCGAGGTTTTTAAACAGCATACATTTACTTCCATAAAAACACAATACAATACAACGCTAGCTGACGTTTCGGCAGTATCGCCTTCTTCAGAGCCTGGAAGGGTATACTGATATACAATCTACTAGGCCAAACGCTTCAATAACACTCCCGAAAAGACGAAAAACTCTCTGGCAATTACATAATCAACAACTTCTCGAAAAACCCACCGCTTTTTTCGTGACTTCCAATGAGGAAGTTTAGAACAGCTGATTATAGTCGCATGTGGTTGACGACTGCACCATCCCACATCAAAAATCGATGCGAACGTACGAGATCAGGTCGCGTATGATCTCCGGGCATTCGTCCCTGCTATTCATTGTAGGGCTTTTGGCATTGATCCAAAAAGCCTCAAGGAGTTTTCGCGCTGGTGTTTTGGACTCCTGTGCAAGGATATTGACTTTCACTTCAAAATCGTCTCCGCTATGCTTTTGTATCCTATGCGTGCCTAGTGGGGTGCTTCGTCTTAGTTTTCGTTTGCCATCTAGGTGTTCTTTTATACGGATACACAAAGGTCTGCCCGTTTCGCCAATATATTCATCTCCGCAATTGTTACACGAGATCAGGTATATCGACCTGAACTCATGCAATCACCGTCCCTGCCGTAGGGGCAAAT